TTCAACAATTAATTTGACTCTCAACCATATCTTCTCTAAATATCTAATTCTACCATCTCTAAATCTGTATAACAACATTGAACCATACATGCTCACTGCAGTGTTCTCTACCATTGATAAGAAGACAGGACCATAACCTTTTTGCATATCAAGTTATCAAAGATAAAAGGACAATAACATACCCTTCCTGCATATTCGGATTTCTTTCATGTCCCTGTTCTCTAGGGATAGTTCGTCATGCATGCCTACTTAAAATGTTATAGATGTGGCCAATAACATACCCTTGCTTCATATCCAATTCTTTACCATATCTATTTCTCTAGCAGCATTGACTAAGATATGCCTACAGGAGTATTGCAGATAGTACACAAAAGGACAAAGAAGTTTCCCAAACACGTTCAGTAATGCATGCCTTCAGAAGTATTGCGGATAGAACACAAAAAGGGCAAAGAAGTTTCCTAGACTTACTTCTTTTCTCATGGTACTTCCCCACCAAGTCATAATAGACATCAGCTGCAGCATGATAGTCAGGTGCATCCCGTCCACCGAAGTCATCGGGATTGGGTTGAGGAGGAAAAACGCAGGGGGAGCTGACCCTAGAGGAGGCCTTAGAGTCCTCAGAGGCATGCGTTGCGCCTGGTGACGCTGGCTGCTTTCTTCTTGTGGCCCTTGGAGCTTCTCTTATGCCTCCTCTTCCGCCTCTCGCCTTGACTGCTCATGAGACCACAATCCTGAATTGCCTTGAGTGCCAAAAACCGCCAAGGAAAGGGGTTAAACCACCAAGGAAATGATCTTTGGCCACAAACTGTCAAGCAAATTCACTCAAGGATAGAAGACAAGGAAAATTAATTTCTTTGGCGGTTTTGGCACTTGAGCTCCTTGCGGCTGCCGAGCTCTTGTCGATTTAGGCTCACGTAGCTCGCCATCGCCATCGAAGCATCACACTACTTCAAAGGGCATCTTGACATAAAACACATCTAGCAAAGGTTGATTAGTATAATAAGAAGCCCTACCGGTCACAGGCGAAGAACAATCGCCAACTCTTCCTCAATGACCAACAGCTGCTCCAAGCCATCTAGGTGGCAGTAACCACCAAGAGTAACAAGAAAACCACATCCAACTCGATAAACTAGTGCCATTAGATACAAAACTCCAAAGCAAATGCACTAGATCTCTCCCAATCTCAATTTGATCAGCGCAATGCAAAGAGATGAGAGGGAGGTGTTCTTGCATGCTCACAAGGGTGTTAGAATGTTCACGAGAGACGGCCACAAGCCGGCCAACTTATATTTATAACACTCCCATCCAAGATAGTTGTTGGCTGCTTTCATTGGGCCAAAATCGCGGCCATCGGATCCACAAAGTGTTCTAACCTGTGTGCAAGGGAGAGTGAGGGCATTAGGGTTTCATTCAGCATTTCACATATACACTATGTAAGAGATGTAACCATTCGTGAATAATATATAGTCCAACTTTGTTAATATGATTTAAAAATTTTATGGCAAGATAATTGTTGGCATTTCTTAGCATCACTCTTTACTAAGTTGCCATCCCTAGCAATGATGACATAAATGCATTATTGGTAATTATTGAGAACACTTGTAAATTTATATATATTAAGTAATCCGCAAGCACACAGATAATATACCATTGTAGCATTTCACCCGGGAGTATGCCAGGTATCGTTATTTATATTTTTCCACAGGGAGGAGCGATGGGGTGGCTAGAGATATTGACAAATATGCATTACTTATGATAAGATCATCAACTCTCATGCTTTAACAGGGGTAAGCCAAATGATAAATAAATGATAAGTGTAAGGCATTGATAGTAATCTAGATATAGAAATAGATACTCATAAATATAGTATGGCTAGGCAGGAGATTAATTAAGAGAAAAGATTCCTAAGTCATTTTTTATTTACTAAGTCTTTTGTACACTCTAGTATATATACTTTCATCTATAGCATAACTAACTTTGTATCTATGCATAAGGAACATTATTAAGAAAGATCAAAAACAGAGCTTGTCTCTCTTCGTAACCGGGTTCTACTTGTTCTACAAACGGAAAGTGGATTACAAAGGACTAAACGAGAATGTCACACTCGCGATCTACCACATGGCCCGAAGTGTAGAGTGCATCCGTAGGTAAACAATATTTAAGCACCACGCTTACATAATATTGACCACTTAACTCACTAGAGTATTGAGCTAAACGCTTTGCGAACATATGCATAAATCCATCATTAATCATGACTATATCAAATATATTACCAAAGCAAACTAGCAACATAATAGATAGAAATATAGTATTGAAGTAGCACAAAGTCAAAATATAGAGGGATACAATGGCTTTACCAGCCTCCAGACGGTGAATCTAGAATCCTGGGCAATAGCCCAACTCTACTTAAATCTTGCTAGCTAGTCTATACTAGAACTTGAAGAATGGGAGCTCTATTCTCTTCTCTTTGGAAACCCTAATTTCTGATCTAGTTTTGGCTTATGATCGAATTGCCTCAGGGAGGCGGGTAGGGGCTGATGTGTATAGGCCGGAGCATCAATTCTGGACCATTTGATCAAACCGACTTAAAAAATGGCATAGATGCAATCTAGGAGGCGGTGGAGAACCGACGTAAGAAGCTAGAGGCTTATTGGTGGGCCCAGGGGTCGGCCGGCCTGCAGGCCCCACCTAGCATCCTCTCGTGCCCCGCTTCAGTGGAGTGCCTTCTGATGTCTTCTAGAACCTTATGGCGTTGTTCCCGTTGTGGATAATTGCAATTTAATTTGACGATTTGATCCACCTGGACGGTTTTTTGAATAAACCCTGCTGAAAACACAGATGCACCAAAACTTGTGAAAATTGTTAGTTTAAACCCCTAAGTCTAGGTTGATGGTCATTTTCATGCCTTTTACAAGTTATGTTGATGGTTCTTGATAGATGATAACTACCGTCAACAATAATACAACTATATTATGATCTCATGCCAAATTTTAGAATTTTTAGACACCTTTAAGATATTATTGTCTTTTTCTATCAGAGTCACCAAAATATATGTTCGAGTAATCCCTAACAAAACACTTCATTTTCTATAGCTTTTCATGATGTGAGCTCAAATGGAACATGTCTTCTTGTATATTTTTTTGTCTAATTTTTGGACGATGTTTGATAGGACGTGTAGTTCAAGTTGATGTTACTTTCTAAAACCATGTAAAAAATCACTTAAACCTTAGAAAATAGTAAATCACTTTGAAAATCCATGAAAGTCTTAGATAACATTAATTAGGTTGTCTAGTTCTTGTCAAAATTGTGTTGGGCTGCATAGGAATCATGTAGACCACAATTATTACATTTTGTATTTTAGAATCATGTCAAGTACTTACAAGCATTTCATTGGGTGCCAACCTCCAAGAAAAATCAATAACCCTTAAGAAAATGATAATTTACTTGATGGTTTAGAATAACACCCAAGGAATATTGGTAATTTCATTGGAGGTGCTTAAAACCTGCCAGGGAAACATCCTTATTCCTTGGCGGTTTACTTCTACCCTCAAGAAATATATATTTCCTTGGAGGTCGATGTCCACAGCCAAGGAAACTATATTTTCCATGACGGTTCTATTTTGGCACTCAAAGAAATTCTCAACCCTCAAGGTAATTCAAGATTCTGGTAGTGTCAAGGCGGCTTTCCTTTTGCCTCGTTACGATGACGGCTAAGCTTCCAGTTGGGTGGCCCCCGACAGGTGATCGATCACCGCGGGCTCGTGGGGACCTAGATCCTAACACCTCTTCCACCGTGTCCTGTGTGGTCAGTGACATGATCATGCTTCTTAGGGTTTGATTGGCTCGGCTGACCACAAGATCGCCTCCGTCACAGTGATCGATTTGGCGAGGAGGGGTGCGACATTTGGTTGGGGAGATTTGGGGACAGCCACATCCCAAAAATCGGAGGACGCCTTCATCCGCTGGAGACATTGTCTCCTGTCGCGTGGGACGAAGCTTCGCCATGAGCTCCTGCGCGGCGGCACGGAGCTCTTGTGAGATCTCCAGCGTGGAGCTTCGGCGCGAATTCCGTGGATGCTAGGCCAGTGGGGGGAGGAGACAGGTGGTGGTGGATGCTAGGGCGGCGGGGGCGGCCGCGCGCACCAACGGCATCCAGCGCAACCCGGTGGGCATGGCAGGCGGGGCCTCAAGTGGTGGTGCAGAGACAGGGCAGTAGGGGAGAGAACGTGAAAGATGTTAAAGGAGACTGACATGCAGGCCCCACTTAACGGCTAACGGATCTACAACTGTTGGGTATCTTTTCTCTCGTCACAAAAGGCCCCGTCCCCTTAACACAAGCATAGGAGAGTCCCAAAAAAACTGAAATACTAGATCACTTCCATTCCACCCCAGCTTTATCTCCAAACAGAAGTGAACAGAGTGCTCACATGCTCATCTTGCTGAATTGCAGGTAAAAACGAAACAGAAACCTCTTCCAAGTTCATCTGACAAGATTTCTTTTCCCCGAACCATTGCACATAATCCACGCTAGCATTCACAACATTTGCCAACGGCATGGGACTTCCACCACCACACCAGAAAACATGGCACCATCTGGCGCCTCTGACATCTCCGATACAACAGAATACATACATCTCATCAAACAACACTCCACCTTTCAACAGTCCCAGAAGATTCATCACATCCACTACTGATCAGCTGATCGCCACTCAAGTTCAGTTGTGTCAGGTAAACACAGGGAGGCTACAACACATATGAACACCTACATACATTACAAAATTTACAGACGAGGAAAACAAAAGACTAGGCCCGCATTACGCAATCAGCACAGGGCGGACGCATTTGCGGCGATACATTTACGCTGGCCTAGAGATGGGGAGGCCAGGGGACGAGCAGGAATAGTATAGCATGGCTTACATATATACAGTGGTCCTGAGCTGCTAAGGCTCGGGAAACAGGAGCACAATTTAGTTGAAAATTTCTGCACCGCCCCTGTTCCCCTAGGTACGGGGGCGCTTGGGTACAGGGACAAACCGGTCTTGCACAGTGTCCTTCAACCACCGTGATGAGCGGGTCTGTTTGACTCGGTCCATGAAAAGGCGGTGCCTGCTCAAATATCAACAGAGATTATGGAGGAAAAAACTAATGCAAAGAATGCATGATTCAATGGATGAAATTAGCTTAGGTTCACTCACCTCTCATACTCCAGTTTCTGAATGACTATACCGTTTAGTAGAAACTCCACGCTAAAAACACTAGCACCTATTGGGTACTCATGTACATTAGCCGACTGCCCAGATCCTGAGGAGAAAATAGTATGCAAAGTATGGTTTAGTATATCTGACCTTTCTCGAGTAGTGGTGCACAAGTTTCATAGTCTTCTTCACATGAGATAACCAGTAGGTCAGGAGGTACCTCCTTTTCCTTCATTATGGATCGTCCTACCCTCTCTAGTGGCTGCAAAACCAAAAAGAAAGGTTAGGCATGTTGTGCCAAACAGTGACCATTGAGACAAAATCCCATTTAATTTGTCACTTCGAAAACAGTGTACAGGTCTCCCAAGGGCATAATACAATCTTGAACTCACATCCCAACTTAGTTCAAACTTCACACGCATGGACGGAAGATTGCATAAATTTGACCCTTTACAGAGTACTTAACATGGATGTAATTATTTTGCGTCTGTTTGGCGAAGGCATTAGTCAACATTTGAACCAAATCAAGTACCCTGATGGCCTGATAGATAACCTTTTTCCATATTGTCCACTTAATGTATCACAAAGGAAGACAGTTAAACAGTACAACATCGAAAAACATAAGAGAAGGAAAAAAGAAAACCAACCGAAAAAAAAAATATGGCTGCATATTTGTATACAAAAAAACATAAGCTGTAATTTTTTTTAAAGAAAGATGTATTTAGACATTCCACATATATTCAGTGAAAGTAAAACTTTAGAGCCATTAGTTGGTTGATGTGTTACACAAAACCCAAAGTTCAGTTTCATTATTCAAGTATCCGGCAACACATCACCGATTGCATCAGAATGCCTACTAATACAGCGAGGGATGACTTCCATATTTTGATTAAAGAAAAATGGTTTTTCAAAGTACTGAGGGAAACTGCAAGCAATATACAAATGACAAGTGTAATAGCAATTGCCTGCTTGATACTAAAATATATTGGAAAGTTTCCTACTTTATTGGTTTATTCACATCTTTTACAAGGGTTAACGAATATTGGGTACCAAAATTGTATTTTAAGCAGCAGGCTGGGCATTCATAAGGAACTACCCCCTCCGTTCCAAATTGTAAGTCGTTCTGACTTTTCTAGTTGTATAGCTTTTACTATGTATCTAGACATAATGCATATCCAGGTACATAGCTATGTACCTAGAAAAGCCAAAAACGGCTTACAATATGGAGCGGGGGGAGTAGTTGCTAATATAAACCATGAAGCATGTTGAAAATGCTAAAGAACTTCATGAGATCAGTATGCCTACCTAAAAGATTTTCAACTCTAGAGCAGTAAGAACAAACATACAAATGCTATTATCACATACAAGAAAAAAACTAATGTTTGCCTGTATAAAATGATTCAGCAACCGTTTAACTTGATAATCAGTTTACTCGACTTTTGGTGTACTAGGTTGTCCTAGTTTATTTGTTTCAAAACAGTCTTGTTGATACAAATTGCAATGATGGCGATAGAAAAAGATTCCACAGCAAATCTTGTTTTCCTAATAAGAGTATTTATTATATTTTTGTGAATAACCTATATCATTTTGTCATATTAACCAGTAGGGAGCCCCTTACTGTTTCCTACAAAACAATTGTTATATAACTAATCCAGTCATTGTTAACATGTAATTCAAATTTCTAATACAAACAAAAGCTTAAAGTATGTTGGAAAATAAAATAAGGCTGACCTGCCCCGATGATGCTTTAACCAAGCTAGTCACCACTGCCTGACTTGGTTTCACATTTGATGTTACAAAGACTCTTTTTCCCTGTATAAATAAATGATTTTTTCAGTAAAAAAAAATGAATCGAGGACAGGCATAGATGAAATAGGATTAAAAATTTCACAGTACCAGCAGAAGAGGATGTTTGCAAGCTGAGGTCAGTGATATAGGCATGCTGAAACCTATCTCCTTTTCCTTTTTTTCATCCCTCAGAATATACTTCCTCTCATCAATAAAACAGCCTACTTGTCCACAATTTTCAAGCCACATTGATGTAACTACTGGCTTGCCAAGAGTTATTGCTTCTAGCATATTCTTTGTGCGGCAAAATCTATCTGCAACAAAGTGTGTTGCATCGGCCATCGAAAATGCTTCACAAACTCCTAAGCGCGCCAAGATCTACAACATAGGTCATCATGAATATACCTCATTCAAAGTGATGATTACTAACAAGAATATATATAGAAATATAGTTTACCTTCTTTTGACGTTTGATAACATCGTCATCCAAATGATGGCTGAATAAAATACTGACACTGGCCATATCCTTCCTTCTGGAATCTTTTCTCTGCTGATTTGATAGCACATTTTCAGGATCTAGCTTCAGTAATTCTCTCGCAATAGAAGCTTTTGACAAGCTTCTACTTGAGCCTTTTGACGGATTCACAGGACTAAAAGTAGGTGACAATTCATTAACCACTTTTGAAGGTGTTTTCATGGCACTATTCGGAACTTGAGGATTGTTTTTTGGTGATTTGCTTGTATCCTCAACATGGGAGGATTCCTTCAGTCTCTGTGCAGAGCTAATGACATCAGAAGAAGTTTTCCTGTCATCTCTTACAGAAGAATTAAGTACAGGAGAAGCAGCTAATGACTTTTCTATAATGTTGGACATCATAGAAACTGATCTTCCATGGGAAGGTTCCCTCTTTGCATACTTTAGCAGGTCAGAAACACTTCTTATGAAAATCCGCCTTTTCTTGCATGGTCTTGCCACTTCTGACGGTATTTCATGATTTGCAGCAGCTGCAGCGGTTGACTGTATCATTTTTGTAGGTGTTCTTTGCCGTTTGGGGTGTGATGGGGAATCTCTGCATGTAACATCAGTTGTTGGTTCAACTCTGTGTGCTTCAAGGTTTTGAACATTATTTACACTGGTCCGTTGTGCGCTTCCATCCCTAGATTGCTGAAGATCTTGATCATTATTTGTATAAGTCTGCTCTGTGCTTTCTTTTTCAAAATAACTCAAACCAGATTTGGTTGCAATGTGGTTATTTTGCACTTGCCCAATAGTGGAGCTGTCACCTGTCAATTTCTTGCCTCTCCTCAAGTGTTTATTAGATAACTCGATAAATGCAGAAGGGTCATTCCTACTACAATGCCTAGTTCGGTGAGCAACAGGTGTCCCATGGTACTTATTTTCATCGATAAATTTCTTTGAAACTTTGCTCTTCTCTGGTACATACTTTGTTTGCTTATGTTTCACTTTTACTATAGGCTCAGAACTTTCTTGCGTCTTCGATCCTCTTAGTCTTTCTTTCTGAGGTTTGGTACTGAAGTCAGTTACTTTTCTTCTTTTAGAACGTGTTGCGACACCTTTCTGGATGTTGCTAGTTCTCTGAGGAGAACCATTCTTCGAATGACTTTTAGTTATTCTGGACATCTCAGCTCTCATATCTCTATTGAACAGAGGTTGACCTTCAGCAGATAAACTTTTAGCAGGTGAACATTGTACCAGGGCCTCCATAGCTTCAGCAGCCATTTGAGTATCTGGACCAACATCATTCAAAGCTACATCAGCCTTTTCCTGTTCTTCCAATGATTTGGCATTTGATAGATCATCTAAGTCCTTCAAAAGGTTTTTCTTAGTCTTGTTTCCAGAAGCCCGCTTACTCTTTACATCACTTCTGAATAGTCTTGAATCTGATAAAGGAATTGTTTCAAACCTCCCAGGTAGTTTGGTATTTCTTTTGTTCATGGCTTCCCCCATGTTATTTTCTTCCTGTGATTTTTTTGTGGAAGATTTCTTTGCTCTGGTAGAATGACTCTTTGGTTTTCCTCTACCAATTGGTTTCGGCAACAAGATGTCTTTGTTTTTACTGAAAAAGTCACCTCCTCCATCATCTTCACGGCTATCCACAAATTCAAATATTTCTGCCTTCCTATTGGAACTTCTACCAAGGTCAACCTTCTCAGCCAACATTAAAGTCCCCCTCTTACTTGAAACACGTGGCTTTTCTTTTTCCAATTTATTTGGGGTGTTTTCTTGAGATGATAATCCACCGTTGATTGAAATCAACCTGTCCACAACATCAAAAGCATTTGCTTGTGACAGATCACCAGGCTCCTGTGATCCAACATAGCTTAATCCAGCAAGACATCTGCTGTTGTTTTCACTATCCTCAGCAGCTGTGTCAGCAAAAAGCTTTTTTGCTGTTGAGCACTTATCTCTGCTTTTACCTCCACCTTTATCATGGTTCTGTACATAACCATGGGAGTCGTTATCAACCCCACCAAAGGAGGTGCTACACAAAGTAGATTCATCTACAATTTTCGGCAGGGGATGTATTGCATTGGATGAGGCCTTTTGTTTCCCTTGCTTCATACAGTTCACAGACATAGTGTCCCGAGGTTCAGAAATTCCACATGTCCGTACTGATGCAACACAAACAGAAGGTAATTTCATCTGAAGGTGACCTAGATGTTGCACATATGTTGGCATTAGAGAAAAAAATTAAGTTTCACTAAAAAGACAGATTAAATTAAATCTAATAAACTAAGCATTTTTAGAAATAAGGGTAGTATATATAAAAGAAAAATCAAGTGCAATTCTTCATTATGTTCAAACCAGAGATACAGAACACTTTTACTAATTGATTGACAATGTGATTCCCCTTTACTTGCCTTCGAGTAAGAATCAAAGCATTGATAACTAAAATTTCCCCCAAGATGAATATGTAAAGCTACATCACCTCTTTACCAGGGAAAACAAAAATGAAATAAAATCTCAACAAAAGCACCATTACCTTCAAAAAAAAAAGAGACTACACATTGTGATTGTCTGAGAAAATATATTTCTGTTATCGGACAAAATTCTAAAAGACAAGTTCTAATTTTAAAATAAGAAACAGAACAAGTGGTCTCTGGACTACTTTGATACCTTTAGGCTTCTCTCAACTGAAAACTGATAAAACTACAGGGCACTTCTGTAAGCATTTTATATTGTAAATTTTATAGAATGATACTGATGGATTGCTACGTGACAAAGATAGCAATAATAGCAGATTCAGTAACTGGTAACTAACCTGAACCTGTGTCACCCTCCTCATCTGTCGATGCATCAGAATCCACCAAATTATTTTTATCATCATGCTTCTTAATCCCTCCATTTAACCCCTCAATACTTCCTTCCATTCCCAACTTCGCATCCCTTTTGTTCATTCCTGACTTCACACCCCTCTCATCCCCTGACAAGCTCTCATTGTCACTTAGGACAACAGTGCCATCGCTCAACCCATCGTCACCTATGTCTTCATCAGAGTCTTCAACCAACTGGGTCTTCCCCCACTCACCAAGATCATGTTCATCATCGCCATTTAATCCATCGTTGTCATCATCATCATCCTCAGATTCCTCAACCAACTGGGTCTCAACCATGTCTCCAACAACGGTGTTCACTACATCCACCTCACATTCTTCATCCGACTGGGTCTTAGTACAATTACCGGCATTATCCTCAGCGCCACCACCGACATCACCCCCTTTCCCATCTTCCACCTCCTGCTGCGTCTTCACTTGGTCACCGTCATCACCACCATCCTCATCGCCACTCTCCACCAACTGTGTCTCCGTCCAATCGCCAGCCACACCCTCCTCCTTCTCCACCACCTCGTCTACTAACTGGGTCTCGGCATCATCCAGAGGCTGTGTTTCGTCGTACAGGGTCCAATCATCTGCCTCGCGCTGTGTCCCATCCCCATCACTCGATGGAGAACCTGATGACCGCAATGTACATCCACCCAAAAAAAATTAGCACCTTTACATTACACCTATCGCCCACAGAACCACGGCCAATAAACAATGCGCACTCACCTAACGGAGGTGTCCCGCCGTCCAGGACTTGGGTATCCCCGCCACCGCCGTCATTGCTGGCCTCGCCGCGCATCGCAACACGGCCAGGACCGGGCTTAGTGTGGCGGATGGCCGGATGGGGATTCGACCGAACCCCCACAGATACTCGAAGGAAGAGGGCTTAGTGTGGGCGATAGGTCCACAGATGGGGGTTGACCGCAATGTATGGTGGTTCGATTGGGTCGTTCTTGGAACGAAACCGACTCCTAGGACAACCCGCCCCGAAACAGTAGAGGACGGGGAAGGGGACGACGAGGAGGAGGGCGACGCCTCTCGCCGAGAGGGGCGGGGGGGGGCACGGCCGGGAAAATCTCTGATCTGTTGTGCGCGAGTTCGCCGGCGGCGAAGCGGCGCGCGTGGCGAGTCGTGGCGGCGGGAAAAGAGGGGAGCGGGGGGAGCGCGCGCGGGCGCAGAAACGGGCAGGGAAAAGCCAAAACCCTTGGATTCCAGATTTTGCCTCTTTCTATTGGAACGGCTCGATTATACTGTAGATAAAAAAAACAGAAATGTTATAAAAAAAACATGTGTTTTAATAAAAAAAAACACATAGATTTTTTCTCTTTCCAATCAGTGTCCCGCCACACCATCCTGTCAGACGCCACGCCACTGTAGCCTCGGGCGGATAACAGGTGAGCGCCTCAGCCCGGGTGCAAGGCGTCGCACAGTGCAGTGACTCGGCAGCAGTTCCGATGTGTACCTGGCGTGTAGTGACTCGAAATGGATCTGGCTCCAGGTACCTCTTCCTCCTCCTCCTCCTCTGATCTGATTTGTCCTTTCATAGAAAAAAATATTTCTTGTGATCTATGGCCCTGTTCACGTGCCCTTGAACCCGGCTTGATCCGCTTATTTTTTCATCCGAAACAGTGTTTTTCTCTCACAGATTCCTCTAGCATTCCTCCAAACCATCCAAATTTCTCCGAAATTCAGACAAGCGAACAGGCCCTATGAATCTGTGATCTTATGATTTGTGATTGTCTAGAGATAGAAGAAGGGTGTAGACTATTGGATCTTAATTCTATGGTGCAAAAAAAAATCATGTGTTAAAACTACATAAAACATATAATTGTTGAGTAGACAGACTAAAAAAAAGGTTAGTTGGGTGGTTTTCTCTAGACTATTCCTACTTCCTCGATATGTTGAGACTCGTGTGTATAAACTTACTACTCTTAAATGGTCATTTTAAGCACTTTTATGTATTTCCCCTATTTTGAATTCCTATAATTACATTAGCTTGCTAGGATTTCTCATTGCTAGTGGCTAGAGTTAGGCACCGCCAACTTCATGAACTTTTTGTTTAGAATGAGTTGGTGTTAGATGAAACATGTTTCTATGTTTATATAAAGGAAAAAAGAAAACATTTTAAATTCTTTCACTCCGATACAAGTGAAGATGGTATTGTCTAGACAACTTGTCCCTTTAAAATTCAATGTACCAACATTTGACTAACAAATACGCGTAGCATGTATAACAACGACGTGAGTAGAATAACATCCTATATATTGAAAGTTATTCACTTCTACAATGCTTAGAGGCGACCACCATACATCGATTAGCTACGATCGATCAAAAACATGTGCATCGAGTAATAGAGAAACAGAGGAAGTGTACTCTTTCAAGAATTCTTTAGTTAGCCATTTACAAAAGCTCGTTGACTCACGTGGTTTATATACTTGGGTTAGCCAGTCCATGCGGTTAGAGAAAAGGTAAATAAATGACCCGGTGCGGTGTCATGCATGATGCGTGACTGTTTTTTCATTTATTAATTGTTCACCGAAAGAAATCAAAGATGTTTTTTTCATTTCATGTAGGTTTCAACTCAAGAAAACCAATGCACTACGATTACTCATGAAGGTAATAATTGGTCAGATATCTGCAAGACTTGTTGACAGTTGAAAGAATAAACTCAACCACACTAATCAGAAAACCTATATCCTAATAAATTCTCTAGCTCCCATACATATAACAAATAGTCAAAAACACACCACATCTACAAAGCCGCATTGGAATCCTAAAACCCTAATTCCGCGAGAAATCCACTAGGCTTCAAGCACTCAAGAATGCATATCACAAATCACCAACTCTGTAGCTTTACCTCGATCTAGATTCTCCAGCAGACCCACTCAGTATTATCCAAATCCTAGCGAAATTACCTGCGCCCACAAGTCCACGAAAAAGAAGCAAAAAAAATGAAACTCCAACCAACATGTATCCCACGTTACCAAAGGTTCCAGATCAGTGAAGATACGCGCCATTGGGCTACTTCTATGTACATCTACCAAGCATGTATGAGCATGTGTACCTCTGGTTCACTACAGAACTTGTAGAGCTAGGACAAGATGACGAGTGCAATGAACGGAGCTCCTATCTAGTGACGGCTTTGATACTATTTTGACCAGCGACAGAGCTACTAGGAAAGGAGAGTGGAGAAGAGGCAATGAGTGAAGACGGGTCACATCAATGAGCATGTGAGCGTGAGGGAAGGTTGTGTCTTGCAGACAGAGCAAAGAAGCATTCATGGCGTGTATGGTGATGGCAGGCCCCATGTTGCATGCAAGGCCTGCTGCCAGCGCGCCTATCGATCACTCATTGACTGTCTTGCTACACTTCGTGGAAAGAATGGGAGGGAGAGAGACGTACCTGACACTTGTTAAATTTTCAAACTAGTTTGTATACTGCCGGCTTACGTACATGGGTACAGAGGTTAAGTATTATCTACTAGCCAACACATATCAAACATTACCAAAGGTTCCAGATCAGTGAAGATATACGCCATTGGGCTACTCCTATGTACATCTATCAAGCATGTATGAGCATGTGTACCTCTGGTTCACTGTAGAACTTGTAGAGCTAGGACAAGATGACGAGTGCAACCAAGGGAGCTCCTAGCTAGCGATGGCTTCGACACTATTTCGACTAGCAATAGAGTTGTTAGGAAAGGAGAGTGGAGAAGAGGAAATGAGTGAAGATGGGTCACACCAGTGAGACTATGAGTGTGAGGGAAGGCTATGTCCCGCAGGTGGAGCAACAGAGCAAAGAAGCATTCAAGGCGTGGATGGTGATGGCGGGCCTCACGCTGCAATGCAAGGCGTGTTGCTAGCGCGCTCTGCCCATCACTTATTGGTTGGAGCTATAAATTATCCTAAGTTTGCAATTAGGTAGTTGGCTATCAACTAGTACTCAACTAGTAAAACACCTATTAGTACTTTTGTTTAGATGCAAGAGAGCTAATTTTTAGCTAGCTCTCAAAATCTCTATAGCATTTTTAGGCTGAACAAAAATTTCTCAATCTCAATTCAAAAAAAAGAAGTGATCGAGAGAGAATACGATGCACTTGACTAAAACATGGGCTAAAGTGGTTTCAGCCCACTAACAATGCATCCTTTTTAATCCCATTCCAGCCTAAAAACCTAGTGGCCCAAAAACTCAAATCGGCCCAAACGGCCGAACCGGTCTTCCTACCCTGCCCTCATGGAATTCTTCTTCCTCTTCCTGTGCGAGTGCGCTATACCAGCGCCGCCGACACAACCCCAGACGGAGCCGCCCGGCCGTCGCATTCCTCGTGCGTTTCTATCTATCTCCCTCGCCCCCCTCTCGCTCTCCGACGACTGGTGGGCCGCCGCCGCCGCCGCCCTACGCTAGCTGCTGAGGCCTTCGTCGGTCTCTTCGTCGGCGATGAGCACCCACCAGGTATTCCCACCCCTTCTTTTGTATTCCTGCTGTGCGAAGCCGAGCATCCAAACGCTAACCTAAAGCTGTTTGGCTATCTGATGCATCCTAATTTCGAACTTTTTTGCAATAATTATATCGGGTGTCAGTGGCGGGTCCAATGGGTAGTCTAGGTAGGCTAAGACTACGTGGAATTTGATCCATTTTTTTTTACTTCGCGCAGCCCATAGAAAATTTGGCCCATTGCTCCTCTTTCTTCCGGTCAAGACCGCGAGCGGCCGAGCGAAGCCGTCTCCGCGACTCCGCTCCCTTCCCTCCCGACGCTCGCGAAGTCGCGAGTCAGGCGCGCCGCGCGCGCGACCGAGGAGCCAGCCGCGGAGCCGCCGCGGCGCCGCCCCCACCCCGCCGGCCCGCCCTGCCAGCGCCCAGCGGCCGTCCAGGCGTCCAGCGCGGCAGCGCCAGCCACTCCGCTCCGCCTCTCCGCCAGTCCGGCCGTGGCGCGCCAACGCCGGCCAGCACAGTCTGTGTCTGTCTGTCCTGGACGCACTGCCTGGTGAGTTGCCGTCCTGGAGATCTCTCTTCCTCCTCAATTTGTTCACTTGGAGGCTCGCTGGGTGTCCGTGGTCCGAGATCCGTCCGGATTTTGGGGGTTTAGATCCGTCCTGGCCGCTGCATTGATCGCCGCCGGTAACAGTAGCCTTTCCGGTGGCTGCTTGGCGCGAGATTCTGGGTACATTTAGACCTAGTAGACGGTGAAGTTATCTCTCACACTAAAATCGTCTGGACAATGCTGGTTCTTGCAACCCAAGCTCTTTAATTTTGGAGCTGGCCCGTCGTCAACTTTGGTTCAGTATGCTTCGTCCTTCGAGGAACAAATCTGGGCTGTGCTTGTGCTGTTAATCTGTTATTAGGTCTGATGTTCTTCAACTAAATGCTTGAGTAATGTTAGTTTAGGTTTACAGTCGTAGATTGGAAATTGGACTGTAAAGGTTTGGACAGTGAGCACTGGAATGTAAATTTGGTTAGGGATTTGCTCTCTAACAAGCTTGTTGACACTAAGAAACATGAATTTTATGGTTTGGTGTACTTAGTCCTTAAATTGGCATTGATCTTACCAGTCGCGACAGCAAGTGTTGAAAGAGTATTCTCTGCATTGTGTTTAGTGAAGAATAAGGTGAGAAATAGTATGAGTGACAGGTTATTGAATGATTGTTTGGTTACCTTTATTGAGCGTGATATATTCTCCACTGTAAGCGAGGATGGCATAGTTCATGCTTTCATGGCAATGAGAAAGCGCAAAGCACAAGCCTTGAACTAGAACTTGTATTGTAATCTCTTATTTATGTAAGACCTTATCTTATGTATAAT